CAGCGCGGCAGCCATGTAAATTTAAATGAAGCGGCGATTATTTAAATTGCTGTTTCATTTTCCTATGTCTGGTAGCCTAATCTACATGCCTCTGGCGACAGAGGCATGTAGTCTAGATGTACCCTAAGTGTCTATAGCAGAAAATCTGGTAAATTTGCTTAACACATCCAAAATATGCATTTGTTTTCACATGTCCATGTTTTGCTTTTACCACCTTCTTCTGAGCTTGCTTTGCATTTGCTGCATCAGTAGAATCAGAAGGCAGAGACACATTTTTCTGAATTTCTGCAGCTTCTTGTTTTTGATTAGAAAAGGACTCTGAAGGGTCAGATCCACTTTCTTTATCATTCTGGCCTTCTGGTCTAATAGCACCTTCTGTTGTATTAACAATACTTTTTTTTCCTGTGAATGGAAAACACAGGACTAACATAAGTTGTCTTGCTTTCCCTTCTTCTATATCACAAAATGCCCTAACTCTTAAAAGATTTCTAACTTGTATTTTAGGTTATAAAATTACAGGACAGAGCAGGGGAAACATTGTATTTCTTCTGCTGCCAGGCAAAGTAAGAAGTCATAAGGGCCAAATTGGACAAAGTTCTCAGTTAGATACGAGTCTAATTCCTACAGCTCATAAAGCGTGGTAGGGAAAAGATTTGAGCCCAGGTATTCTGTCTAGTTCAAGATGTTATCCAGACAACATTTCCCAAGGTTCAACACAGGAGATACTATAAAAGGAGTTTTGTAACAATTGCACTCTTGACCAAGCACATTTGCTATATTAAATGCTAGAACTGATATGACAACTAGATGAATAATCTGCACGTAAAGTGTTTTAGCAGTCTGCTGGGGTACTCCATGGGGGGGAAGAAGCCAATGCCATCCAAGAAGAGAATAATGGAAACAGAAGAAGAATCAGAATTGCTGTCCTTAGTTACAATGTGTATACATTGCTACAGCTGGTTCAATCTTTGGCTACTATCAGTAAATGCCAAGTCACAAAGTAGGTGCCAGTCCAAAGGGTTCCTGATAGGGATGTAAGGGAGAAGTCGTATGTAAGGAAGAAGCATCTGAGCATATGCTTAGAAGTAAACATACGCTTATCAGGTAGTTGAGTCTACTACTTGCTCTCCCCCACCCCCTGCTGCCTTAGATACAGCAGGGAACAGGAGCTACCTTAAAAACCAGTTCTCCCTAGTACCATCTCCATGGTGCTGCCTGCATACCCTGCTGCTCTCTCTACCAGGCTAGCCACAGGCAAAGGCAGCTCTGGCAGCAGTCCCTGTCCCCAGGGCATCCCAGATCCCCGCTGGAACCCCTGAGGACCGGGGCTGCTGGATCCAGCATGAGCTGGGATTGAGCAAGCTTGGCTTGGACCCAGATCATGCCAATCTGAGACAGCTGTGGCTCTGCATTTTAAATGTAGTAAGAGCTCGTGCTGATTGGGCTCTGCAGTTTACATGTTGTATAAGCCAGCCTCCTACTACATTTAAACTGCAGAGCTGCAGCAGGGAGGACTCAGTTGTCCTGGCTCGCACCCAGTCCCCTGCTGCACCTCTGGCTCCCCTGTGGAGACAGTGCTGGGGGGAACCAGCTTTTAAGCCGGCTCTCCCCAGCACTGGCTTCTGTTCCCTTCCCTTGCCCCCCCTCTTCAAAGGGCGGGGTGGGGGTGGGGGTGGTGAAGCAACTAGTCGAGTACTGACTCAACTAGTTGCTTACATCCCTAGCACAAGTAGGGACTAAGAAGTCTCGATTCACGCCAGCTCCAGGACCACTGTGGCCCATCAGGCTCTTACTACATTTAAAAGGCAGAGCCACAGTGGGGGTTGTGAGCACCCCCCCTTAATTAATAGATGGAAATTCCATTGACTACTTGATTAACATCCCTAGTTCCTGGTCAATGCCTTAAAAAAAAAAAAAAAAATCAGATACAACATTCTAAACCATCATCTAACCAAGATCCACCGTGTTATGATCCAGATTCAGCAAAGCATTTAAACATGTGCTAAATATTAAAATGTAAATTAGTTTCACAAGCCTTGCTGAATAAGGACGGGATTACTCACATACTTAAAGTTGAGCACATGCTTATGTACTTTGTTGAATGAGAGCCTTTATCAGAAATCTCTAGGGGCCAGATGCCTTTACTTCAGCAGTGATTGCAAGTCTTTCTATTGATTTCAGTAAGAATTTCAACAGGCCCCGAAGCACTGTCAGATTATAATCCGAGTCCTCTTACCATCTATCCCCAGCATCCTCACTTTTGATGGAGGAAGTATTTTTGAAACTTATTTCCTATTGGTCCATCCTAGACACTATTAAGAAAAAAATGTGCTTTTATTTTGTCGTCTTTCTTTGTTGCTGGATTTGCTGGTAGGTGGATCTGGCTTAAACGATGAAGCCATTTATTTGCTGTTCAATGTAAATGTGATTTTTTTAAATGGCATCCAGGTACCACAGTGACTGATGCATACGAAATTCTAGTATTTAACAAGCAATAGTAAAGCCAGTTAGGGTAAGATTAATTCCATGAACAGGGAAGAGAGGTTAACTGCAAACAACTCAGTGTCTTACAAATCTTATCTGAAAATTTATATGTATTATGGTAGACTAAGTAAACATGTTTATTAGGTGCTAAAATTGGTGAGAGGTTTAACAGATCAATGATTCTCAAACTGATTTATGAAGCCTTCTCATACTGTCACAGTAAAAAAGCAGCTACCATTTTTCCAGCATTCCTGGTCTAGTTAAACAAAAAATCTGTTTTCAAAAGATGCTCTCCCCCTCTGCACCCGTAACTCTATGCACACAGACATTAAGTACCCCTAAGCCCTGGCACCTCCCTTCACACTATGTGGCTGTTTTGTACCTTTTCGAGGTTGGCATTTCCTTGGCATTAATTAATCAAATCTGCAAAAGGATATCAACTACAGGCAGTCCCCGGGTTACATGGATCCGACTTACATCGGATCCCTACTTACAAACGGGGTGAGGCAGCCCCGCACTAGCTAGGGAGACGCGAAGCTAGTGTCCCCCCCGCCCAGCAGACCAGGGAGAGGTGGAGCGGCTTTTCTCAGCAGACACCTCAGCTTGAGAATAAAGGACTGTGGGAAGTGAGGTGTGGGAGAATAAAACTGAGCTCTGGAGAAATGTTTGGCTAGAGTTTCCCCTACAATATGTACCAGTTCCGACTTACATACAAATTCAACTTAAGAACAAACCTACAGTCCCTATCTTGTACGTAACCCGGGGACTGCCTGTACAGGTAACAACATGCAAAAGAAGATAAGCTGAACTGCAAAGTGACCTGGAGAGATCAAATGCAAATGGAGAATGCAGCCAATTTAGGAAATATTAAGGGCTAAATATTTAAGTCCTACAATGAGGAAAATAAAACAAATAAAACAAGAGGGAAATTTTAACCAAGCAACTGCATCATTTAAGTGAAACTGGTAAAGAGGCCAGTATTAGTAAGAGTGTTGAAATGCCATACATGCGATTTGCTGGGAAGTCAGAATGTTAAATTTTGATTAAATGGTTTTAACGGATCAACTAATTGAATTAACTGGCATTTCCATCAACTATTCAATTAGTTGATAAGGAATAGCAACATGTTCCACCTCTAAAATGTACAAGAGTCCCAGCAGGAGTTCTTGTGCATTTTAAAGATTGAAATTCTGCGTGGAGCATGAGGTTAGCAGGGACTGCAGGCTCCATTAGGGATGTTAAATATCAGTTAATTGAATAGTTGAGTAACCTCATGAATTCTTATTGGTTACTCGACTATTCTATAGCCCCCAGAGGCAGGGCCAGCAGCCAATGCACTCTGGCCTCACTCCTGAGGAGCAAAGCTTCCCTTGCAGACTGGCTGCCTGTTGCTCAGTGCTGTGCCTCTGATGAAGAGGCAGCAGGGGACATCTAGATGTCTAGGGGACATCTGAGCTCCTGGTCCTGGTGCGAGCCGGAACTGAGCTTGGCTGCCTGCCCATGTGGCTCCCAATGCATTTCAAATGTAGAGCCAAAGCAGGGGTAGGTCCTGGATCCAGCACAAGCCAGGATGAACCGGGCTACCTGCCAACTCCTAATACACTTTAAATCCAGAGCTGCAGTGGGGTAGGGTCCCAGACCTGTAATAAGCAAGGAGTGAGCCAGGCTGCTGGCCAGCCTGCTAAAAATTTTACTGGCTGGAAGGGGCAGGGAAAGGGAGCAGGGGGAGGGAAGAAGACAGAAGGAAATGTACGTAGCCTATAGTATTAATCTATAAGCTTTTGATTAACCGTTAATCAACTACACTCTTACATCCCTAGGCTCCCTACTGGGGCTCTTGTACATTTCAAAGAGGAAAAGCCTGGGGCTAGTGGGGGACTCTGTACATTTCAAAGTTGGAATCCCGGTGCTGCACCCCTGCCCCCTCCCATGGAGCTGGGGGGAAACAAGCTTTCAAGCCAGCTCCCTCCAGCACTACCGTCTCTTCCCTTCCTTGCTGCCTCTTTCTGATAGAGGCAACAAAGGAGGTGGAGAAGCGACTAGTTGCTTTCATCCCTACTGGGAAGGCAGAGAGTCTACAAAAAACGGTACAATTTCAGATCCCAGTTTGAAAGTTTGAGACATACAGACACAGGGCCAAATAACCCACAAGCAAACTGTGGAAAGTCAATCTTACCATCTCCTCTTTTGCATGTTTCATTTAGTGTTTTGCACTGACATTTCACCTCATGAGGCATGACTGAGTTTTCCTCTTGAAGTGGAGGACGAGCACCAGGAGATTTGTTAGGACTTAGGTAGGTGTAGATTTTGGACTGGCCAGCAAATACGTTCTCCTAAAACAGAGAACCAAAAAAAGATTCATGTCAAATAAATCTCAATCCCAAAGACTCCAATTATCTGCATCATGCTGCATAGGCCAACACCCACATAACTGCAACATTTTGCATCTGAATAGCAGAGGATCCAGAGGGTAAGTTTAGAAGATATGACACACACAGATTAGTAATACAAGTTAAACCTCTCTAGTTAGGCTGCTTTGGGACCTTTCCAGAGAATTTGCTGAACCACAGGAGGTCAATATTGTCTAGCAGCATTATTAACACTTCAACTGCTTATTGGCTCTTTGAAGATGTAGGAGTAAATTAGAGCTAAATCACAGCAAAGAACACAGAGCCAGGACTGATAGCTGTAAACAAACATTATGAGATCAAAGGAAACTTGGCCACACCCATGATAAGTGCACATCCAATTAACTGAACTCATGCTGGACCACAGAGGTTGCTAAACCAGAGAGTGCCAGACTAGAGAAGTTAAACCTGTAGCTTGTGCTAAGAATTTGCATGGCAATGTCTGTTCAGAGACACTTCCTCAAAAACAAACTAAATGCATAAGGTAGGACAATGTAGCACTTTAAAGACTAACAAGATGGTTTATTAGATGATGAGCTTTCTTGGGCCAGACCCACTTCCTCAGATCAAATAGTGGAAGAAAGTAGTCACAACCATATATACCAAAGGATACAATTAAAAAAAATGAACAAATATGAAAAGGACAAATCACATTGCAGAACAGAAGGGGGATGCGGGGGGGTGGGAAGGGGGAGGAAGGAAGGTAAGTGTCTGTGAATTGCTGATATTAAAGGTAGGGAGAGTGGGATGTTTGTGAGTTAATGGTATTACAGGTGATAATTGGGGAAACTGTCTTGGTAATGGGTGAGAAAGTTCAAAGACTTGTTAAGTCCTTGTTGGTAAGTGTCGAATTTTAACATGAATGACAGTTCAGAGGATTCCCTTTCAAGTGCAGATGTAAAAGGTCTTTGTAGCAGAATGCAGGTGGCTAAGTCATTTAGAGAGTGTCCTTTCTGGTTAAAGTGGCAAGAAACTGTTTTCTCTTTGTGATCTTGTCTGATATCTGTTTTGTGGGCATTAATCCTTTGGCGAAGTGTCTGAGATGTTTGTCCAATGTACATAGCAGACGGACACTTTCGGCACATGATAGCGTAGATTATATTTCTGGATGCGCAGGGATATGTGTTCTTGATCTTATAACTCACTTGGTTGGGTCCAATAATGGTATCAGCAGAATGAATATGTGGACAAAGCTGGCAACGGGGTTTGTTGCAAGGGAAGGTACCAGGGTTGGTATTAGTGTGGTATGTCCTGTGGTGGTTGGTAAGAATCATCTTGAGGTTAGGTGGTTGTCTCCCAGAGCCTCTTTGAGTATGGTAACTTAACATACATTTGAACTCTCTCACCCATTACCAAGACAGTTTCCCCAATTATCACCTCTAATACCATTAACTCACAAACATCCCACTCTCCCTACCTCTAATATCATCAATTCACAGACACTTACCTTCCTTCCCTCCCCCCCCTCCCCCGCATCCCTCTCCTGTTCTGCAATGTGATTTGTCCTTTTCATATTTGTTCATTTTTTTTTAATTGTATCCTTTGGTATATATGGTTGTGACTACTTTCTTCCACTATTTGATCTGAGGAAGTGGGTCTGGCCCACGATAGCTCATCTAGTCTTTAAAGTGCTACATTGTCCTGCATTTTGCTTCAACTACCCCAGACTAACACGGCTACATTTCTATCACTATTCTATAAATGCATAAGGTTAGTTTACTTAAGTGTTAGGGTACAGGTCTAAATTCTTTTCTTGGGATGTGTACCCAGTCCCAAGTGACTTAAACATAAGGTGCAATGCTAGTGAGAGAGCAGCATCTGGTGCTCATTTCTCTCTCAAATGTTTATTTTTAACAGAATAATTATTCAATGTGATGATTTTCTCTGCATTAGTGCAGACCAAAGACCAATATAATCCATTATTTAGAAAGCTGATGTTTCCCCTGAAATTGCATTAAAAAGAAAAATCAAAGGCTAGTTTAAAAAACCCTCCGTTTTGATAATTATTTGGAGTTTCTTCTACGACCCCCATTCAAAAAAAAATTGGAAAACATACGTCAACACATACAGTACACAGAGGTACAGATGATCAGAGAGAACAGTCTAACCAATTGGAAAATTAAGCAGTATTGTTTCTAGCACACTGTCTGAGCAGGTTAGAAAGCATTTCATTTTGGCATCATGACAAGATGGTGTTTGGGAGAGAACTTCTATTAAATTTTTCTCCATCTATTCAATCAATAATGAGCTCAAGAACACAGCAGAGCACTTTAACACAGGTAAGTGTCTCACGGGCATATTTAAGTCCCACTGAGAGTGAAACATGCTCCAGGAGTCCAACAGAGTCCATGCGCATATTTAGAAAGACAATCCACTATGAGTGGTGCCTCATTCCAGTGAGCTAAGAACGTAAACATGGCAAAACTGGGTCAAACCAATGGCCCATCAAGTATCCTGTTTCCAAAATGGCCAGTGCCAGATGCTTCAGAGAAAGTGAAAAGGGTGATTTATTGAATGCTCATCCCCTGCACTTGTGTGGGAAAGGTTTATATGGGGTCTTAGAGAAGTACCATTATCTACTACCCCCTCACTTTGACTCTTAAGTTTCATGTAGCAATTCTGATTTTCAATCCCACCATGTCATGATTATGTTGATGTAATTTAGCTAAAAGTAAGATTGCCTTGCCTATATTTCCTTACACCCAAAAAAAAACAAACAAACAGATTTTCAGATTCAAATGAAAAAATATTTTTCACTAAAAAGGAACTTTATAGTAAAGCATGAAATGTACCACATAGCTGAACATAAGGGTGCATAAACAATGACACGTAAAGGGAGCCTATTATGGAACATATATGTAACTTAAAAACTGATAAACTGCTTAAATGTTGTCACCTTAATCTGATTTAGCTGTAATTTGTAATCTTTACCCAAGAGCAACATTGTATTAGTTCCTGGCCATTTCAAGGCTCTCAGAGTAGTGTATATCTATACCCCCTCATTTAAGACCTTTACCTATCTAGAAATAGTTTTCTTCATTCTGTACTTTAGGTCCCAAGATTGTGGACATTTAAAGATGCTTTAATTTCAATGCAACTAATCACACGCTAGAAGTCAGGCACAGAGGATAAGTATTTGGAGGACCCAAGACTGCCATTTCTTCCAGGCAGGGAGATACTAATTGTTAGTGCTTATACAGCTTCCATAGGCCCATCTGCTGCCCTGATTCCTACAGACAGACCATTTAGCCTGGCCAAAGCCTCAATGAATGGGGACCAGCTTGCAAGATTGAAGCTAGAGTGACTCTCGCATCCTGCCTAGGGCTTGGAAGGCTACTGCAGTAACAGCAACAGCAGCTTCCTACACGGGTAATTTTACTCACGTGAGCAGGTTCATTGACTTCAGTGCGCCCGCCGCTGCGGCAAGTTCCCCAGATGGAAGCAGCGGCAGCCCGGC